ATTTTGTATTGCGGATCTACACTAAAATTTATGTTGGTTCATATCGATTAAATATAAACCCTTTATCGACTTTTATGTAACACCATACATAAAACAGCATCCACAAATAGTTATTTGACATACACTTCAAACTTACAATGTATTAAAACTAGAACATTTTGGGCCGCACATCGTGTATAATTAAAAACTGAATCGAGCCGTATAAAACAACAAAAAGGACAGCATTAGACCCGCGGGCCGCGAGTTTAACATGCGTTTCTATGCTATTTTAAAAGACAGTCAGTAATTAAAATAGCTCCAGCTTGACTGGTGTTTGATATATACAGGCGAGGCATTCGCCTAAGGCTAGTAGAAAGAGTGCACACATGGCCATACAATGTCTCAAAAAAAACCCACTGCTTTTGCCAGTCAAATTCCGCAAATACAACATGCAACAGGCATCAAAAATTAATCTGATGACTAAAATTAATTTTCGCCCTACTTTACGTATTTCGTAAAGAAACGACAGTTGTAAGAATGTATTTTGTATAAACTGGCCGATTTTCATAGCATCCAATTAAAGCAACAAAATATATTATTCCACTCAATTACTGTTTCCTTCAGCGAACACAACCAACATGGCACCAGTGCGAAGTTAAAAGATAGTGGTACCATCAACGACAGGAAATCTGTTAACATCTGACGAATAACTTTAATTAACATCGGATACTTGACAAGGATAAAATGTGTTAACGTAATACAATAATTGAAAAATTTATAATTATTGGCACGTTCATAATGGAGGTCCATGAACACGCCTATTAGCTTTGACATGTCCGTTCCTGTGTCCACAAGGGACAACTTGAAATCCGTTCAACGGATTTTCATAAAAACAGGTATTGGAGAATTTTATTAAAATTGGTTGGCACAATGCAGTTTAATTTAAAATCAGACAACAACAACAACAACAACAAAGAACACTTTTAATAAAGACCTACATGTGTTTCCGTGCCACTAGCTAAATATTTATCGGAGCAAAAAAGTTTCGAACAAGACAAAGATGTGAACATTATGCTATTTCTCTGTGACTGACAGAACCCCTCAAAAATTTTCTGTGGCGTTATGAAAGAGAGGTTTAAGTTACTAGCACCCCATTCCAAGAGACTAACAAAATTTTAGACGTGATATTTCTGGATCCTAATGATAATGAAGACGAGTGTTCTGGGATGCTACACCCTGTAGTCTGGTAGACATTGACCTAAATTTCAGAGCAGCTTAGTGCCTTCGTCATCAGAATTTCATTATGTCACTGAATAGAAAGTACTGTTCTTAGTGACAGCGTCACAAATCAGAACATCATCTTCACCACCGTGAGAACCTCAGATCTTACAAAAGACGGGGTTTTCTTGATCCCCTGAATAAGAAAAATTTCGGAATTTAATTTTTTACTTAATCCTCTTATCTGTTACACCGTTTATCTATTTAAAACCCCAGAATACAAACTGATTAACCTTCTGAGCCGTTAAGTCAACCTCGATAAAAGTAAACACTTCTAAATCTTCTCAGTGAATCATCCTGATGTAACACACATTTTAAGGTCGGAAAACAAAACGCATTCAGCGTTAAATCATGCAAAAACGTTGCCAGATTAATTTATAGTGAAAAGATCCTCTCAGCATTTCAGAAGTTCCATCATCAGACCCTGATAATGGGGCTAGCAAGTACCTCTGAAACGTCTGTAAACTTCTACAATGTATAATAATAAATATTCCTCAAATTTAAGTACGATTTATCGATGTTGGTCTTACAGGTTATAACGCCGTGAGGATTTGTAGGTAGATAAAGATTTCAGAGAGCCAGCCTGCATAATCAGGGCTGAAGTCCACACAACGTTCAATTTGTTTGGCCGTTTGTATGTTCACTGTATTCTCCTCGTTCTGATATGCCGCCACATTTACGGCCTCCTACATATATAATTAAAACCGAAACGTGTCTCTTTTGACAGTTAACGTGAATATTAACTAAAAACAGTTTTAATAACCAAAGTAGTTTTTAATTTAAAAGTCCAGACAAACAATAATTTTAAGTGTAATACACCATCGTCAAAATCCTTTAGAATTTAATTAGTTTTTAATTCTTCGTATAAATTGTTCAAACATATTTATTCTGAATTAATCTTGATGATATACGAGTATGTTTCTTGCAAGACAAGAGAATCGGTTTATTTTATTACGTTGTTTTGCTTTTTTCAGAAAACATGGACTCGCGTCAGACCATGCGCATTAAAAAGAAAATCTTTTGAAAATGTTTAATAAACGTGTATCATACGTAAGGTTATTCATGACGGAAATACGTGTCCACAGGGCATCACGAAGCAGTGGACACGTACGTCGGAAAATGATACAGATAAGTTATCTACGAATAGCTCATTCCTTTGTCGGACAGAACGAAGACTTCATCTTCAGACCACAAGAGAATTTACTCAGCTTTAACCTACAAAGAGTTGGGTCAAACTAGGTCTGTGTGGTCAAGAATATACGTATATTCAAATGAGAAGCGCATACAAAACTTTAGTCGGGAAACATAAAGAGAAAAGGTCACTGGAAAGACCTACACGTAGTTGAAAGAACAATATTAAAATGAGGATTGTGGTCTTTTGGATTCTGGTGCGTGTATTCAAATAGGCAGGTACCTCTGCAGCGTTGTAACCACCAATAAGACGACAAGACGTCACAACCATTAAGGCCACAATATACATTTCACCGCCGAGTAAACCTCAAAAGTCAGATATTGAAATGGATCTTAGGGAAGTGGGGCGTGAGGATGTGGATTGGATTTATCTGGCTCATGACACGATAATTAATCTTTCGGTTTTATAAAAAATAAACAGAAATTTATTAACTATCTCAGCCCACTTTTCGTTCATCAAAAAGAACTTTGATCTATGGAGTTAGTATTCTATTTGTGAGTACAAAGATCTTTTAAATGCGTTGTTTATTATTCAACATTTCAGTACACAAATCTAATCTAATATTTGCTTGTATAAGCACCATTACCCAGGATAAAGGAGGCTGGCATGTGGTTAGCAACCTCTGCTTCATATTCGGGAGGTCCCGGTTTCAAATCTCAGTCCGGTTAAGTGTTTCATGGTTTTCCTCAGTTCCTCCAGGCAACAGACAGGACAATCAACTTAAATGAGGACACGACCGCTTCCTTACAATTAATTACTCGCTGTCATAGTCTCTCATACGACGCTATATAGTCTAAGTACTCAAAGCGTCGTTAAATAAATTATAAATAAAAATTACACAGCCTATACATAAGGCACCACTAGTAGGGATAAAATATGCACGGTTGCATTTCTCTCTGCCTTATATTATCTGATATGTTCGTCGCCCTGATGATGGAGGCAGTAAGGACCTCTGAAACGTCGGTAAACTTCTACCAGACTACACGGCGCAACATTTTTTTAATTTTATTTGTAGTGTTCTGTCTGCCGACAGGTCCATATGAACAGGATCCTTCCATCCTTTTCTCGGACTGGGACCTGTTCATATACGTTCTTGGCAGATGATCCAGAAGTGGTTTGCCATTGCCTTCTTCTGTGTGTAAATGGAGTAATTGTTGGGATGCCACGGAGAAAACGGGGAAGCTCCCGGAGGAAAACTCCGTGTTGCCTAGACCACGGCCTTGGGCAACATACCAGAAGACATCTTCGGAATCATCGCCGTGAAAACCTCAAATCCTACATTCACCATCTTCCGCCACGTCTCTCATGGAATACCCCTAGTATTATATTATCTTTACACCAAATCAAAGTACCATCTCGTTTTTTAGACGGTTAACTTTCTTTTACTGGCAAACAGCAATTTAAGTATTTTGTAGAATATGGCACCAAAATGGCATTTCCCCCAAAGCACTTGTTAATGTAAATTTCTAGTACCAAATGTAATCGATAAACGTTATCAGGTTTGAGAGATAAAACATGTGGGTAGACTTCCAAACATAACTTGACTGTTAAACGTCTATTCACTTTACACTTTGAATGATACAAACAATCGCGATATTCAAATTTGTATTCATCCATTACCAGGTCAAAGTTAAGGTTCTCACGGCGGTCACTACAAAGATCTGGGTTTCTGCTTGACACAGCACAGCATGGCGACATCCATCTTCAGTCATACCTAACATCATGAACGAAGGTCAGTCTACAGAAACTCTGTTCCTCAACTTCTTAAGGAATTATTCGCCTTTTATGGTGTCTACTAATCGATATTGCGTCCTGAAAACCTATCGCTAAATCAAGGGCGCGTCTTACAGTCGATCGATAATATCTTAAAATCGATGAAATAAGGTAATTCACACAGTGAGCCCACTTTACACTAATCCGACACTTAATTGGTAACCCTTATCAGTTTAATTACATTTCACAGCTGTAAAGTGTTGGTAATCATGAATTTGTTCAACACTAACTGTACTGTTTAATTAGGGATTTATGAATCTGCGCGTTGGTGTGATAGTGTGGAACAAAACTTTTATTGTCCGGCCAAGTTCACTGCCTGTCCTACACATCGACCCCTAAATTTGTATTTTATGGGCAACCCCAATATAAAGAACATCCAATTAACATCTGTTGTCTTTTCTTTACCCTAGATGCTTTACAGACTGAAGAACGGAATTAATCGAGTGGCCTTGACAGAGAAAGTCATGTTTATGACTGAATATTTTCTAAAATTCTTTTCGAATGAATAATATTAATAACCACGGTCTGAGGCGTGGGCTTGTCACTGGGACCGTGAATTCGAATCCCACTTAAGCCATGGATGTTTGTCCGCGTTTTTCTGTGTTGTTCTGTCCTATGTACAGGTAGAGGCCTTGCGACGGGCCGATCCCTCGTCCAAGGAGTCCTACCAACTGTCTATTAGATCAAACTAACGATAAGTTGGGACCCGCAGTGCTCAGGCACTTGAAGAACGGGTCGTCCAAGAATCCAAGTAAGTAATATTAATAACAATGCTTACCTCTGCACAGTCAATTCGAAGTTGTTGCCAGCCCTAACAATGTAGTCTTGTGCTTCCTTATGACGAAGGTGAAAAAGCTCTGCGTCATTGACTCTGATGACAGCATCTCCTGCTTGCAGACCTGCCTTTTCCGCAAGGCTTCCGCCATTCACCTGAAGCAAACACCATACAATGCAACATGATTCTTAGAAAGAGCAAAATATTACATAAGATAAACAATGTACAAGATTTGAAGGTTTTACTGCTACTGAATGAAGTTTATGTAATATTTGAGGCCCTCACGGCGTTGATGAAATATCAGTTGTGATATTCTGGGTTATGACGTCGTGTGTCCGTGTAGGCGGTTACCAAGGTTTCAATGGGCGGTCAGCCATGTGAGAAAAGAGTTAATATCCGAAGTTTCTGAAACTGTCCATCAACTCAGGGAACAGTCTACGAACCTGTGCGTTTTAGTGACTGGTGTTTGGTGTTTAATATTCACAACACACCTGATGACGCGAAGACAGAAAGTGTCAATGATCGATTATCATGTCTTAAATATAATAAATAGTTGTGTTGACGGTACTTTAAACTTTGTTGTTTACTACGTACACAACCATTTAAAAATATGTATCAGAAACGTTAAATATTAGCTCAGTCCTCACATGGCAAGATAAAATCTGGTTTATGGTGGTTTATTTCTTGATTTACATATCACGCTCTATGAACTGCATAAGCCTTTCAAACCCAACATTTTAGGAAAGATTCACATTTTCATGCTGTGCTGCTGTCTTGAGCAACACAGTAATGTAAACGATGGATATAATTTTAGGATATAAGGTTTACACGGCGGTGATTTTGAAGATGGTTGTCTTCCGGGTTGTTGTGTCGTGCGGTCTGGTAGCAACGACCTCTGAAACGTCGGTAAACTTCTACCAGACTACATGGCGCCTCAACCCAGAAGACAAATATCTTCGGAAATAATTGTATTTTTCTATTGGATCTCTTCGCTATTTAATAATCCTGAATCTTGCTATTATTATCCCAATTCTGTTTCTCATATTTTCCAGTCCTCCTCTCATTTTATCACTTTCCACCTCTTCTTCTTAAATATCCCAGTCCGAACAGTTGTGTGCTCAGGGCTTGAATGATAAGAGGACAGAACGCATCTAATTCAGAGCTTGTCAATGCTTTGCAGACAGAGGGCCACAATGAACTTTTTTTACACCACTTGAACCCTCTATCATGCTAATAATATTTCTCATCTTTCATCGCGTGTCTTTGTGTTATAAATGATAACAATCTGATTTGAAACTTAAACTTCATGGCAATTTGTTAACAACGTTACGAAATTACTATTATAAACAAATTAATATGTTTGTCTAAAGGTTTCTGACAAAAGTGCGTCATTAAACCGACGCATTTCCTTGGACACTTTCCTTCATACGTTAATTTAAAATTACCTAAAATTCTGTATCTTTGAAATAAATTATGGTAAACCAGTTGACTCCATTTAGTGCCAAGGATGAGAATGCGTGGGGCCGTACCTCCACTCCCCAAACGTCTTAATGGTGTTACGCGTTGAGTAAGCATTGGGTTAACTTAACCTACAAAAATGATAGATGACCTTCACAGGTTCAAACCACAAAGTCACTCATTATATAATACCTTAAATACACAATTCATCCTTCTATTATGATGAACTCCAAAATAAAATTCCTTTAAGGGCCCAAAATTTTAGGAACACAACTTGTTACACGCCTGGCGTTCGTAATGTTTTCATACCTGGAGCCACATTCACCCTTTTTTATCTAGTCACAGACGGCAGGTTTAACAAAAGACGATAATTCATACAATTTATTAAAAATGTTACTAACTTACTACTGAAAATACGTTCTCCGATACACATGCATGCCAAGAGACGTTAATTAATAACACACATCCTAGTTACTTTACGTTCTTAATTGATTATAGCGATGGATTACTGCCAAAATCTGACAGAATTAACAAAGTGTACTTTCTGATAGCAGGTGACAGTTTTTCATCAAACACGTGACTCGGTATCTTCAAAAGTGTACGAGGGCTGCACAACACATATCGGAGGGCTGCATGCGGCCCACGGGCCACGTATTGAGAACACGAGGTATAGGTTCTTGTTTCTCAAACGGAAAATTTTCATTTTATAACAAACCAATAAACAGGGCGAATGCCAGAATATGCAGCTATAACCATGGCAGACGCATGTAGCAACTAGCAGTCATTATGGATGACCTTGATGACAGAGGCCAACACACCAGGCTCCAAATTTTGCTAAAATTAACCAAAACGAACAACTTTATTCAATATAAGCACTAAATTTTGCCTAAACGTTTTACCAACTTCACCATCTTATCATTCGTACATTCTGAAATGTCTAAACAAATACAGACCGTATTTTTAATAGAATTGGAATGTCCTTAATTAAAATCTTACCCAGTTACAATTAAGAAAATATATGTGAATTTTGAGGTTTTCGGGACGGCGGGTTTACTGTAATTTAGTGCCGTATATTCTAATATAAGTTTACCGACGTTTCAGAGGTCCCTGCTGCATTCATCAACCAAATAAGAATTTTGTCTTCGAAATAAGTTGCATATTTTTTTTCGAAAATGTATTACCATACATAATTTCTGGTTCGTAGCACTAATGTTCCTCCAAGTTCTGAAATTCGTCTGACCGTCATGTTGATATTGTTAGTGGTTTGAAGTTAGAAGTACAAATGTTGGGCAATATCTAGTGGCAATATATTCATACCTTTTCATAAAAATTCGTGTGTATGTTTAAAAGTTATCACTGCTAAACTACAAAGTGGCCACTAACAGAAATTAATGAATGTACTAAAATGTTATTTTGTGCGAGATCTTTTAGTGAAACACATAATGCCAAAGTAACTATCGCTCCAAATCTGAATTTGACGACGATTAGTAATGATTCACTAATAACCAGACATGCATATTTGATGTGGAGGTATATCATAAATATACGGACAGATTCTGTATAAATCACTGTTTATATGTCCAAATTATAAACATGGCGTCAAAACAAAGCCGATGTTTATAATTGACAAACTTAACGCAGTCAGAATTTTTACTAATAGAAATCATGCACATAAATTGTTATCTAATCTATTAAGTTATTAATTTATACTTTTGTCTGGGAACAAAACAGGGACTGAACAAATGGCGGAAAAGAAGCGTAATAAATTCTCACATCATCCAGTGCCGTTATCATGCAGAACGCTACGCTAGTGTCAACAGCTTGAGAAATAATCCATCTTACAGCGCGCCACGACTTCGCGCGTGTTCAAACAAAACATTTGTAACACCTGTTTTAATATACAAATACAAACAGCTCGTTTGACTGATAATACTTTTCATTCCTGACAGCAGTATCGACAAAGCCACATGGGCGACAAAGCATCGACCTTTCATGTCTACATCAACTTCACTTCGCCTCACTCTATGGATATTCGTCACGTACGGCAATTTAAAAACAAAGATAAGACAGGCTTAAAAATACTGATCAGTGGAAAAATTGTGTCAGTTTCAATTTTTTGAGATAAAATTAATTTCAGATATCAACTGCATTTGACCCTCCAATAACGAGGCAGGATTGTTTAATATTTGGGTTATTTATTTTTATCCGATAACGCTGTGACTCATACCTCTATATCTATAAATGCCGCTGTGAATGCACGTGTTTAACATTTAAAATCTCATTTGTGCATTAATTTTAGCGTTTATTCTAAATTTCAGCATAATTTATTGGTTTATATTGTTATATCAGCCCTATTAACAGAATACATGTTTACGATTTACACAAGTAATTAATCTTCAAGTTACCTAAGTACATAAAATCAACCGTTCATATTCCTGTGTTTTTAGAGTGATATCGTTAATGGTCATAGGCGACTGGGCATTAGACAGGGATCACTGACAAATTAAAAATTTGTACAGCCCCCATGTTTATAATTTCGTACTGTGACATATTGTTCGGTAGCTGTTTTCGTTAATGAAACAAGAGACATTTAAAAATAAACACGTAAAGGTGATCCGTTTACAAAAATTTCTTGTTAAAAAAAAGAATTGAGGTTATCACGGCGGTTAGCACGAAGATTGCTGTCTTCTGGGTAGAAGTGTCGTGTAGTCTTGTAGAAATTTAGTAACTTTTCAGAGGTCCTTGCTGCCTCCATCATCATGGAGATGAGTAAGCCTTGGTTTTCTCGTCGCGCTACAACCCAGAAGACAGCCATTTTGTTAACAAAGTCAACTTTCCTCTAAACTCCCGGTCCGACATTGTCAAGATGTTTCTCAACTCCCACACCCTCCCTCTTACGTGATCGTTATCGACTCTTGCCTTCGAATACGATTGAAAATATCGACGCCTACAAGCAACAATTTTCACGAACGTCATGTTGACGTCATCGTGAAATACGAGACTCTTAGCAGAGAACTGCAAGACCGGCTGTAATTGCCACCGATACCCTTAAAATATTATTCCTGCTTATGTTTTGTGGCATGGTAACGCGTGAGACAGATCCGACAACCCAAACGTTCGCGCACTGAACATGCGCTATTCCTGGACGCTCGGGACGCGGGAGGTTTTCCCTGGAACGACGCCCGTGGCCCCATAAAAGGATAGCCAAGTTACGTCATCAATGAAACCATGATCTCCCCCGGACAGGAAAACACATTCCCACTGAGAGAACTTTGCCATGAGCGAAGCGAAAAATAAACGTACTTCCTACATCACAGGGAAATATTAAAGAATGGTATTGAGAGGTCACTGACTTCTTTATCTTGAATGGCATGTTCTCTGAATTCACGTCAACATTTGTCGTATTTTTTAAACAATCTGATCTTAGTATACGGAAAGCATGTGTGGACACCGATTGAAAAACGTAAATATATGGCAAAATAACTGTACCAATTTAACATTAAACATCTAAACTAAATCTCTTAGGAATAATTTATAAACTAGTTGTATTTTAAAAAGACGGGGTCACCCTACAAATTCAGTTAATTGAATTATTATCACATAATCGTGTAAAAATAACTTTAATCTAAAACACACATTTTATAAACAAACGATTTAATGTAAATCTATATCTGAATTATAAAACACGTGACATATT